GACACTCTTGGTGCACCCCTTTGTGGGCTGTGTGCACAGGCTTGTTGTAGTTAAGCCTTGATTGCTGTTGGTATCACTGGGAGGAATTGACCTCCAGGTCAATTGGCTGTGCGGACCAGTTGTGTCTACAGTGGGAGAATGTCTGTGCTGGAGACACCCGTATGGGGCAGGACATGATTCAGTGGGGCTTCAGCACTCACTAAGTCTGTCCCCTGAGTGTGTCTCTTATGGATGTGGAGAGTTGTAATCTGAATGGTCTCACTCTGACCACTGGGTAGAGTGGCTCTTGTATCTCCAAGGAGGTGCAAAGTCAGCCACTGCCTGAGGCCACCCAGCAGGAGCTACAGAGAGATCTGCAGATTCTTCCTCTTTGTTTGGGGTTTGGAGGTGCCCAGATGAGGTGCAGCTGTGAAGTAATGCATGCTGCTGGCGAGCCTTAGGCCTTCCTTTGAAAGCTCTGGGGTTGTCTGACTCAGCTACAGTTTGACAGGCTTTTAGGCAGAGTAAGGCCAGGCCATTCTTATGCAAAAGCCTCTGCGCACAGCTTGGGTGGGGTTGTAAATTGGGTGGGGCGTGGTCTCAGGGAATTACCAGGGCGGAGCAAACCACAATGGCTGCCAGTCTGCTCTGCCTCGGAGCGGTCACGGGGTCTGTGTTGCAGGGCTCTGTGCAGGAACAATGAACACTGCAAGCACCTCTGTGGGAAAGCTGCCCTCACGTCTGGCCCGATGCCAGATAGGCCAGTTTCTCTCCATATGAGTCTGGGTCCCCAAATTCTCACCCGGAACTGGAGTTCAAAGCAGTGGGGAGCTTTTTTCTTCCACTCGATTGAAAAAGACAACAGCGTACCCAGCTGCCAGTCCCTTTCTCGCGCGCTTCCGTACCTCCACACTTCCACACCTCTGCACCTCCTACCGGACTCAATGTGCTTTTCTCTTTCCTTCTAGTTGTAGAATTTCCATTCAGCCAGCCTTCCTGTGGTCCTGGATGATATTCATTTTGTCTTTTAATTGTAGTTTTAATGTGGTTGTGCGCGGCAGCAAGTTCAGGTGTTTTACCTATGCCGCCATCTGGGTTATCCCTGAGCTAAATTCAAATTTATTTTATGTTTTTTATTCCAATGCCTGACGGCTTCCCAAGGGGTCCCCAATTAGAGAGGGTGCAGGCAGGGCTGAGGGAACCCCACTTCCCGTGCATGAATTTCTTGCATCAGGCCACTAGTTTATCTACACTAATAAAAGAGAAACATGGTAATTGGCGTACGACCGCTACCCTTTTCAT